TAGAAAAACTATTACTAATTAGTTGACAACAACCTAAAGTTCCCGCCAAAATTAACAAAGGAAGATTCAGCACGAACTCATTGACTATAACACGTTGAGATTATATGGAAGATAACAGGGGGCATTTCTCGAGTTCTTTTCCAAGTTCCATCACACAAGAAAGCAAGGAAAACCCTTACACTGACCATGCACACACTCAGCAAGCGTGCAAGGGGAACATAAGGACGAGAAGAGGGGAGAAAGTCAGACGCAAAGCATGCATAGGCAACGACAAACACCACGTTTAGCTGACCAATATATCATAGCTTGGGGCTTTTACAGTAAGTTGTCACCAGACTTCCTGACCTAAAGTCTATATATGAACACCAGAAGTTTAAGATCACCTGCACTCTTATGCTTCTTAGTTAGTTGTTACCAGGCGCATCCCTTCAGAATTAGTAAGGAGCAAACTAAGGCCAAATTCATAATGAGTCAACCTATACTTTTGCAATAATCAATTGTTTATTTTATTGGTCAACTTTCCTTCACATCCCACTTCACCTGTGTAAGTTCATCCAATTTTTGAATAATTGGCCCCAGAGTACGAAGAAGATGGAAGTTTACTAGTACTAAACAAAAGCCTGCCGATGCAAACAGATATTTTAACAAGGGAGAAAATGTCGTCCACAACAGCATAGTAAAGTTAAGGCATCTACAAGCTACAACACCCAGGCACAAAAGGTTGAACTGCAACCCACTAAGAATTTGTGTCTGAAGATTAAGTCTATATGCTTATGGCTTTTTGGCTATTAGGTGTACTCTTCAGGATGTCAGAGATGAAAATAGCTTGGTAGATTTAATTGACTCACTACAGGGATAGGAACTTTACAGAAAGGAATCCTTTCTTTTGTTTTTGTGTAGGAGGGTTCTGACTATGTAAATATACAAGCACCGTTGTAGAGCTAGATTTTTTTCTATCACTAATAATCCATTACTTACCTGTTCAAAAACAAAAGGAAAAAAGAATTTGCCACCGACAAAAGTCAAATACCAAAGTACCAAACACATAAAGGATCATAATACTTTTTTTATAACCATGGTCTCGGCCAGCAGCCAGCTTGCGCGCACCTCGGCTAATTCCAACGGGTAAAGGGTCATAATACTTAATAGCACACTTTTTAGTACCTAAACCACACGATGGGCATTTTATGCCATAACTCATAAGCATGCCCATCAAATGAAAACTACAAATTCCCTATCGAAAGAATAAAATAAATGGATCACCAAAAATCCAAATAGAAATAAAATCAACATTACATGGGTTTTACCTGCTATTTAGCCTTAACTCCATCATATGCACAAAGAGATCAATACAACGATGACGAGCTAACTCAGAAGCATAAATCCCAACCAACTCTTCATGTTGCTTTGTAAAAAGAAACATAGTATACCTGCAATTGCAGTTCAGACTTCAGAAGCCAACAACACAACCCTATAAAATAACAGACACGGGATATTGGACGATAACATTTGAAGATATGAAAATAGTGGATTATTACTTTGATCAATCATGGGAATGAAGCAGAAAAACTTGATACCATAAAAAAGAAAATCGACAGATGAAGACATTAATTCTCCTTGAAACTTGAGACGAAATGCAAATCCCAATCAAGAACAAACACAAACAACCAATATATATGAGTCGTGTACCAAAAAGTAGAGAACCTACATCAAGATATGATTCTCTACACAGACACCAAATCATTTACACAGACAGGTATCTCATAGCTACATCAAAAAAACAAACACAAGTGGATATTCCTTAAATGGACAAAATCATTTTCAATCCCTCCCACCGCTCTCCTTCCATGCAACCTACATAAGAGCTAGCGGGTACCTCCCATGCCGTTGGTCTTCTTTCTAGCTTTTAAGAGACCAAATGTAGCATATCTCTTATTGTACCTACATCGCCCTTTATATTCCGAAACAATTCAAAATCACCCTTCACAAACCAGGGGCCACCTTCCACTGCAACAGAAGGTGATCAAGGTCTTCGCCCGAATATTTGCATGTATAGCACCAATAGACATAGGTCATAGTTATCCACCTCAGGTTCTTCACTGTTAGTATCGTTCCCTTCCAGGACAACTTATTAATCCATACATGTAAATGATGTCTCCTCTCTCACCAACGATTTCTGGTAGTATGATTGGTGTTGTTAAAGGCTTGCTTAAGCCTTGAAGCTTAGGTGCAGACAGACTGAGCGAATCGCTTGGCTTATGCTTTAGTTCAGTCACTACGGCGTTAAG